GGATGAACCAGAATACCTGCTGGGACATAAACACTGACTGCAGAGGGCAAGAGAACAGTGTCTCTCCCTTGGTGGCAGTGTGCATTTTGTGGAATAGGTAAAAAACAAATCTTTCTAAATCTCTCCCTGGACTTGTGCCCTACCCTAGGCACTTGCACAGGCCCTCACAGCTCCACTCTCTCTCTCTGACTTCTAGGTTGCTGATGACCTGCTGTCTCACCCTATGCCTGTTTAGATGTCCACCCCTTGCAACCTGTCAAATCACCTATTCAGATTCCTACTCCAGATTCCACTTCCTGCTGCTGGCAAAGCCTTGCCAACTTTGTCCTTTGGCTCACATCTCTGCTTAAGGCCACCATACTTGAGAGCAGGGAGGAATCTGGCTTGACCTTGTCCTTTGTACAGTCACCCTTTCTCTGTGTGGTCAATGGGCCTTGACTGTCACTGGCCACAAAAGCCTGACAATTCTAGGAAGCCACAGAAAGACCATATACAGTTCACTTCATGTCAGAGCCTAAGAAAGAAAGGAGGTCAATGGCCATGGTGGACAGCAACCTGGCCATAGCTGTTGTGGGTGAAGGTGATGTTCAGGGCCTGCAGTATTCTAAGTTCTGCCAGCTATCTCTCAGGAGAAAGGTTTTCAGTGTCATACAGTGATGTGGTAAAGGTACATTGATGGATCTCCACAGGCCCCTGCCCATGGGACCCTGCTGGAACCCATAAGTATATTCAGACTCTTTCAAATATGCAGACCCCTGTACATACCAGTCCCAAGGATTCTGCAGTTATTTAGTGAAGAGGAAATGACAGCCATCTTATACAAGCCAGCTACTATCCAGCTACATCTTGGCATTCCCCACACATCATCCAAGGACAGTCTTGAAAACTTAAGAGCACTGATGGACAAACTGGGAGTATAACCACTTAGAAACTTCAAACATGCAGTTCTTTAAAACAAGTTTCACTTAGACAACTTAAAACCTTTTAAAATGAAAGCAATTACAGACCACTGCCTTAATAATTTCACAACTAAAACCACCTTGCCCAGCCACAGATGAAGCCAAGGATGCACCCTCTTCCGCTTCAGCACAGACTAGTTTTGCCACAGGATCCCAAGGACTGTATCCAGGGTGACCTGTGCCTCCTGGGTAGCACTGGCTCCTTATCAGGGGCCACACCACAGTCTCGGCCCTCCTTGCACAGCAGGCAGTTTGTTGTTCCCCACTCCCAGGTAGGCCCCATAGTCCTACCCAACTCTCCCTGCATTTCGGCCCCTGCATAGGGCAGGGACATTTGTTGAGTAAACAAATGAATGAATACAGAGTATAAAAAGAAACTTTTTAGAACTGGGACTCCTAGGGTGACAGCCACCAAAAGCCAACAGTGTACTTGAAAGTAGCAACTCTGTATTTCTTCCCTGAATCCAGGGTATGTTTCGTTTTTTCAGCTCAGGCCTTCTAAAGAAAGACTGTTTAGGACAAATACATTTCAAAGAGAAGAACCCTGTCCCCCCCCTCCCTTTTTTTAGATCACAGTCAGAAACTACAGAGCTTATCTTGCATCACCAGAGGCTACAGCATGCTAGGAAGCAGAGCCAGGCCACTGAGACCAGGGCAGTACCTTCATAGAATAGGCTGGCAAGGCTGTTCACCAGTCCATCTATAAGCAGAAGAAGGGTAGCCTTGGCTCCTTCTCAACATGGAGTGGGTGGATTGTACCCCTCCTGGCTCCAGCCCTACACATAGGGGCCTCCGTGGGACTTGCCATGGGACAGCAACTGCCCTGGTTTCATGCTATGAGGTCTGGAGAGTTGTGGGTGCTTAGATCTTTAGGATGGTGTTCAGCTTCATTCCAATTCTATCAATAAGAACCACCTGAGAACATAGGGCAGCAGTTTCCATGTGGCCTCCATGAGGGTCTACAGAGCTCCTAGGCCCCCTGGGGCCACGCCACATTTGCCACTGGCTTCCATCAGACTAGCATGACTATTACTTTTTCCAACTTACCTAGTAAACTCAATTCCTTAGCTCCAGAAGGCCTTTCTAGTCCCCTGCCTTCCTCTCCTGGAGCTTCCCTCCCACCGTCTGGTGGCTGCAGTGAGCCTGCCTCTTCCAGTCTTATTCATTAGCAACTACCTGCACCAAGTTAGTAAGTCTGATCTTTCCTCTGATGTCTCTGGGTTCCCAAAATGACTATTTTTTTTTTCTGCCTGCAATGGCTGTTGTTTTTATTCAGTTACTGAGTCTTGTGAGATGACTGGCTCTTGTCTCTGTCTGCGATGGGCGGTGTTCCCACATTACTCATAGTCCCACAGTGGGTCCCAGGATCAACAGGCACAGGTCAAGGCTTTTGCTTGGGTGGCTGATGGGCACAGAAAGCATAAGGAGATAGTATGGTTCCATCACAGAAAGCCTGGTAAGGATATACTTAATGGGTTTAGCTCCTAGTTACAGATAGAATGGCAAATAAATGATTTTAAAACTGAAATGACAGAAACCGCTGGAAAAGTTATCCGAGCTCCCTGTAAAGCAGCAGTACAGGCAGCAATGAATTCTCTGTCCTATGCAGCTCTTCCAATCTGCTGGGGTAGATGAAGACCTTCTGTAAACAAGGGTGACTTAAAAAGGCTGGGAGGGAATGCACTATTCTCTTGAGGAACTCTCACAACAGTTTGTTTTTGTTCCCCAAATGGTGGTTTCTTCTACTTGGTAAGCAAGTAACCAGCTCCTGAGCAGGCAGTGCCTCTGATCCAGTGCAGTCCTGAAACTGTCTGCACAAAGTATCAGTTCCAGTGGCTGAGGGTTCTGTCCCCACAACAGTGCCATTTTAGGCAGAGTCTCAAACCCAGGCCTCTGGAACTTCTGACTGGCTGATTCCAAGTCAGAGTTATCACAATTACTCCTCAGAGAGGCTCCCAGAACTCAGAGAAATACTTTACTCACACTTAACAGTTGCTTTTTTATTTTTATTTTAAATGTATGAGTGTTTTGCCTGCATTTATGTCTATGTACCATGTATGAGCCTGGTGCCTACTGAGGCCAGAAGACATTGGCTGCCCTGGAACTGGAGTTATAGATAGTTAGAGGTTTATATTAGATCTTTACCACGTGTTTCAGCAATGCACACAAGACTGCACCACCCCAACAAGAACCTCAGTATTTGATACCTCTGCCACCAGTAATCTCTGAGCTATACACCACTTCTTAAGGACCGAGCCAAGGCAGCACAGCCACCCTTCCAGCACTAAATGCAAAGCTCTCAGGACAGGGCCATGTTTGTCTGAGGAGGGTACCTGTGATAAAGTAGTAGACTTGGTGAGCAAGAAGAACTATTTTAGTCAAAAGCTTACATGTTTATTTTCTTCAAACCAGATGGGGAAAAAAAAAAACCAAAACACCAAACTGTTGACAAGATTAGTTTACATCACCTGAAATAAAAACAATTCACAATTTCTATACTGCTCCTGGCACTTATTCACAAAGAGCCAGTAGGAGGAGACACGTTCCACAATGCTGATGGTTTATCATTCCAGCTTTTAGCTTTGCTTTCTCAGCACATTCTTCACCTACCCTCTTGTGGCCTGATTTTCTTGTATTTCTTTAAGAACAATTTATTTGTGCAAAGGATATAAATAACTCATCTTGCTGTTTCACATACATGACAGAATCAATGCAATGCCTTATTTCTGTGCATGTTAAAAATAGGTGATAATTAGTTGAGCTCAAAGTAGCAGCAAGAACCCTTAGTCCCAGACTCAGTTCAGCTCTGGGATCCTCAGTGTCTCTCAGAAAATGTTGGTTACATAGAAGCTGTCTTCACATTCTAATGGAGCTTAAAGAGGAGTTATCAGTGAAAATAAAACTCTACCTCCTATTGGCACATCAACTGTGAAGGTAATTGTAATTTTGTTCTCTTCCACCTCCCGCTTGCCCATGTTCCACAAAACGAAAAGATCAGCATCAGTGTAGATTACACAGAATCTGTTTCAAAGCTCTCTGTTTCTTCCTGGGACCTTTGTGGGCACAGAAATAACAGATAGGACCTTTCCTGGCACAAATTCAAAGTCCAGTGGTCAGAAGTGAGCCCATTGCTGTTCCCTGAATATGGTGATCTCCAGGGGGTGTGAGCTGTTCTGCTTTGCTCACGTGTACAACCTCAGTAAATTCGCCTACTCCCTTGACCCTAACTGCTACGCAAGGCTCTCCAGTCAGCAGTGAAGGCCAGCCCTTTATTTTCAGTAGATGGCTCACACTGGAGCTGCCACACAGGTGCAGGGTCCTGTTGATGCCCTTTGACATCAGCCTGTGAGAAAGCAGTGAAGCCAGGAACATGCTAGGACTACATGCACAGAGCGTCTTCCAGGTTCTCAGCCCTCCCATCTTTCCTTACTACCACACGTGGTTAAGAAACATTTAACCTTCATGTTCTAGAATATGGCCATAACTGAGTTACCCTTTATAGTAGCATTTTGGGGGCTTCAGCACCCCATTGGGAAGGAGAAGATGCTAACTTAACTGACAGTCATAAAAACTAAACACCAAAGAAATTCAAGGGGAAAAAAAAAAGTGATAAATGGTAAGAGGCTTTCATGAGACCTTGCCTAGTACCGGCTACAAAGCACTGGCTTTACCAACAGTGATGAAGTCAGCCACAAGGACGGTTGGAGGGATGCAAGGTCTAAAGAAGATCTGTGATTTTGTTCTTCCCACCTCCTGCCTGCCCATGTTCCACAGAAAGACCATGAGTAAACTCAGGGTAACAATCTGTGCTGGGAATTACTCAGAGAAATGCATTTCAAAGGCAAGCCAAAGGACTTAATTAAACTTTTTTTTTTTCTTTTTTAAAGACAGGGCTTTGCTACATATCCCAGGCTGACCCTGAACTTTTAATCTTCCTATCGAAGCCTCCTGAGGGCTTGGAATTCAGGCCTCTGCCACCCCACCTGGCACAAAAGTCATCTTTAGTCAGATTTTCTGAGATTTTAAAAAGGTCTTACATACCTTGAACTTTGTTTAGTTTTTATTTTGGCTCAAATCCTGAGGCAAAACTCCTTCAGGGCAAGCACAGTGAGATCATAGCTCAGCAGTACTGAATTAGCAGTGTGATGTACCAGGCTGATATGTTTCCTTTAGCCACACCTTGACTTCTCCATGCCAGGCTTGACACACTGCACTCTGTAATAAAAGATTCAATTACTTGACACTTAGTTAACTCAGTGTTAAAGACTTTCCACCACTCTAGGAATGAACACTAACAATATTCCTGATTGATGGCTGCCTTGAACTTGAGATCTTCCTGCATCCACCTCCCCAGAGCTGAGATTACAGGTCAATACTCTGAATTTTAAAGGCTTCTTCCTACACATAAGCTTATACCATTTTAAGCATGCTCTTATGAAACTTTAAAGGAGATACACAGTAACCAGCCAGGCCTTGGTTTGCTTGCCCACCACTGGTCAGTGCACATGTTATGCCCACATTTAAATCTTGCTGGCCCAAAAGAATACTGTAACAAAACGTCATGGTTAGAAAAGAACCAGGCCTCAGGTAAAATTTGTTCTCTTTAAAATAAAATATGCACATCCATTATGCGTGCAAATACATGTGTGTGAGTACAGACACAGAAACACCCGTGCCCAGCCCTTCACTCTGCCCTCGTGAGTACCTTGCTTCTGGTGGCTGAGTGTGAAACAACAGTTACAGCCAATTCCTCCTCATTTCTAACTAGTGAACTGCTAAGGGTACTTCTTCAGCACATGGCAGACTCAGGACCCTTCCCCTACAGAGCTCTTACTAGATATCTGGGGAGCTATGTTCAGAGGTGACTAGGCTTCTGAGTAGATCCTCGCTAGGAGCAAAAATGAAGTGTGTGTTGTGCAGCTCAGTTCCTAAGTCTCACAAGAGCTCCCTGGTATCAATCATGGCACTTCTGTAGGTCCTCTAAGGGACGGAGCAAGGAAAAGTCTGACTGTGTCTCCTTGCTGTGTTTCCCACAGCCCTACACTCATACCACTGAAGTCAATAGCTTCCTTAGAGATGCTTCATGGACCCAGGACTATGGGTCACAGAGCCATCCAGCCCAGCACAAAGGCATCTGGGCCAAATGCCCAGAACTGCTACTTCATCACCTCACCATGCCTGGGAAAAGGGCATGCAAATATCCTGGCATGGGCCTTTGACTCCCAGAGCTGCCTCACTTTGTCACAACCCAGCTCCACCAAGATCCAAAGAAAACAGTGGGAGAGCAGACCATGACGGTAAGCCTTGACATGCTTCCCCAGTGACACCCAGATACATCACAGAGCCACAAGGAAATAAAATACCATTCTCTGAGTGAACAGACCTTTGCCTCGCTGTGAGTCCCACAGGCCAAGTGACTACTTTGTCCATCAAACTCAGTGAGCATGGTACTGCCTAGCACACACGCCTGTATCAGTCACTATGAAGAGGTCTATGCTGGCCATGTGTTGAGATCATGTGGAAAGATGGACAGCCACATCACTACAGAAATCTCCTAGGGCAAGACACTGAACCAAGGAATGTGGTGAACAACTGAAACTAAACCTCCACCCACATGCCATCTCCAAACAGAAGTGGTCCTCCTGAGGTACCAGTTACACTGACACAAGATCCCAGGCATGATGATCATAATCACAGTGCTAATTTATGTGCCATAAGTTTTAATATACACTGTTAGGTACCAAGTGCTAGCCAAAACAAAATTATTGCTTCAAAGTATGGCAATACTAAACACATAAATTTCATCTCCAAAACTCTTTAAAACTTAAGTAAAATTAACAAATCCCCCCCAAAATTATAGGCTTATAAAGACTTCAGAAGAAACAGAATATCTGACTAAACTACATACGTTAAAGCACCAGAAAACAAAATTTACCCTACAACAAATTCTCCATACCTAGACAGCTGCTCCAAAAAGTTGAACATAGCTGTCAAGATAATGAAAAAGCAGAGGACTAGTCAGTCTCATGCAAACAGATGTCCAAGCACTAAATACCAGGTGAGCAAATTCAACCCAACAATAGGTTAAGCTATGGGCACATAGATGTGTGTGTGCAAAAGTCCGATCTACCAAGTTAGCCACATGGGAGAAACGTGAGAGATACGTGATGACGCCATTGCCTAAAGTTTACTCCTAGGCAAGTCAAACTATAAACACATGGTACATGCTTACACGGAATTGAGGATAAAGGCAAGACAGAATTTCAAAGTGTAGGGTTGGGGTATCTTATGTGCCACTGTGCAAGAAGGTGCCATCAAAAAGCAACACAGAGCAGACTGAGTGCCAATGTCCATCTAGTTTAAACTGGTGATGGATACATAGTCATGCAGTTAAAATTATTATTTTATACTAGTTTCTTCTATACAGAAAACATATAATAAGCATGTATTAGAAAAATATCAGTACTGGAACCTTGGGAAATGTCTCCAACGACAACTGGTTTACAGGGCATTATCTGCGGCTTCTACGGGGCTAGCTAATGGCCACTTGTTGAACACTGCCACCAGATGACCACCTGTAGCACAGAACAGAGGAACCAATGTCAGGGACAAGGGACAAGGCATGAAGACAGCTGGAGAGTCTATATTTCTCAGAAAGGAGAACAGACAAGGAGGAGGGAAATAGGAACTATGGGGGTAGGGGAGCGGGCAGACAAGCACATACAGAGGCAGAGTTGAGATTCTCGTGCCTGTGCAGGTATATGCGTGATTGGGAAAACAGGCAACGCACAGGGCAGAGGAAGAGACTACTGCACTGACACCCCCAGGGGCCAGTACCCCTTCCACTTCTGGAGCTCCTCTTGGTGGCTGTTCTGAGTCTCAGAAGGCCCTTCTCGAATGTCTCTAAGCTCACCAAGCTGGAGGCGGCTTCAACAGCTCACACACTGATGCCAGGGAAGGCTGATACCAACAGCAGTACAGTACAAATTGTATTAGCATGAATTTATCACTCTAGCACTTGATAGATTTGCTGTGCCAGTAATAATCATATTGATTAAATGAAACAATTACCTTTCCTTTTAAAGTGATATTTATCATTATAATTTAATCGGACTATGCTAGTAAGGACTTTACTCTGCCAAACAGTAAATACTCTCAATTTTCTACCTTGCAAAGCCACAAAACCGACACATTACACGAGCACGGGGATAAACAGTAAGCTCACTGGCAGAGACACTGTGTTTCCCAGACGGCTGCTATCCTAAGACTATATAGGCATAATGAGCTCAGCTGATAAGAACAAAGATAAAATCACCAGGGCCTGCAAGGACACCAGGACCAAGAAGCAACCTCTCTACCACATTGAGAACAGCCTCATGTGGAATGCTAACGTGGTCCAGAGAATGGGCACCCATCAGAGGAGGACTGAAGGTCCACAGGTCCAGAGAAGGGGGAATGTCACCCAGGGAGACAGAGAAGGGACACACAGATGCTACCTCAGCTAAGACAGAGATATGGGACTGTCCAAGTGCTATGAGAGAAAGGGTAGGTAGAAAGTCCCCAAACAGAGAGATCCTGTTTGTGTTTTCAGAAAGATCCCTAGCCCAGTCATCAGCAAGAACTGTGCCTGGAGGGTGGTGGGGTGGAACCTGGGAGTATTAGCAGGCAGCAGGAGACTGTCAGAGGACTCAGTGACCAGCACCCAGCTGAAAAGGGAGCCCAAAAGAGCTGGCAACCACTCCTGGAACTGTAGTTCCAAAAGGAACAGGTGGAGTTTTCGATAAGTGATGTGAGAAAAATCACGACAAATGTGTATTCTGTTCTAAGAATTCATGCCACTTTTGGTTAATTTATGCCTCCCCCTTCCTCTGACACAGGTTAAGTTTTAGTTAGAGTGATAAGTCTGTGTCATAGTCAAGAAATATGATTTATCTCAGTTCTGAAGCTCCAACTAAGCCAGGATCCTTCTAATAGCATTGGCATGGCCACTCAGACTCCAAGCATCAGCTGGCCTGTCCTTGATTCTCTGCATTTTACTGAACAGTCCAAAGGAAGAGTATTTTGTCATTTGCTTTACTGACTACATTAAACACATTTTGTGTTCTTAGCAGGTAATGGCCTATTTTCCTTATAACGTCCTAAGAACGAACTATGGAAATATAAGAACTCACAGCATATATAAGAGCTCCAGCCACACGAGGCTCCTGGGAAATGCAAGGGGACCACATGGCCCACAAAGCATGGCTCCCTGGCAGGGACAAGCAAAGGCTGGGACAGATCTGGAAATACCACCATCTTCCCTGCAGTGGGTCTCAGGATCTCAAGAGTGATAATACTGTTCACTTTAAAATGTGTGCAGAATTTTTTGTTTTGTCAAGTCTGTTTCCACAAAAATCTTTTCAAAACAAATTTTTTTTCCTGGAGATAGGATCTTATACAAGCCACACTGGCCTCAAACTCAGTACACAGCCACAAATGACCTCAAACTTCTGATCCTTTTGCCTCCATATTCTGAAAACTGAGATTACAGATGTGTGCACTGAACTTTGTTTATGTGTTACTGGGAGTCAGTCACAGCGCTTTCTGTATGTTGGGGAAACACCCTACCAGTTGAAATCCATCTCTAGTCCTTTGTTTTAATTGAACTACAGGCCCAGTCCTCATCTCGTATTTTTAAGTGAATTAGTAGATGTTTTGGGAAAATCTTTTTATGACCTGAGAGAAAATACTATTTCAAGCTTTCAGCAGTCTAAAGATCCACGTGAAATTAAAGCCTGTTGCAAACATCAAAAGGGCTCATTAAACCAACAGGGTCCCCCCACCCCCGAATCTGACTGTTTTATGATCAATTCGAGAGGAATCTAATGACCCTAATACTATGAATGAGTTCTGTATTTCCAGAGCTAGAGCCAGAGGAAAGGCAGACATGGAGAGAGATATACAGAGAAACACAGAAACACAGCTCAAGAAACAAGAAGCAAGCCAGCAAGCCAGCGTGGGTGCTGGCCTCACGCTGAGGAACAGAGTGGAGGTGGTATGTGACAGAGATGTTGGCTGGCACCTTTCTCTTCAGGTCCACCCTCTTAGAAGAACTGTCCACCCCTGGGCCAGATATACCCAAGCACACTGAAAAGGTGTGGGGGCTCAGGCTCCACAAGGAGGGCCTAATATCTTACTTGGTAGGCTTTGAGGATTTTCTACATAATTAATCAAGG